CTCTCTCTCTCTCTCTCTCTCTCTCTCTCTCTCTCTCTCTCTCTCTCTCTCTCTCTCTCTCTCTCTCTCTCTCTCTCTCTCTCTCATAGACACACATGCACACACACACACACGCACACACCCCTGCACCCACCCACTCACACTCACTCACACACACACACAACCTGAAGGTTGTGACACAAAGTACCTTTCATTTGAACCATGTGACCTGAATCCATGCCCAATATGTTTTTCATGTCATGTCCAGTTCTTCACAAGCTTTCATATTCTTAATTTGATTAGCTTTTTATATTAGGTTGGTTCGGGAAAGTCATCTTTGTTGAATGCCATTCTTGGAGAGACAAGGTTCACTCGTGGTGCAGTACGTTCATGTGGTTCCATAGCATATGCCCCTCAGGTCCACATATCCTTCCTCTGAAATGGTGGATCTTTCCTTTTTTTCTCTTATGGGAAAGTACCATTACAAACCTGGTTTCAATTTGATTTACCAAAGTACCTTTTTTTCAGAAAACTTAAAAAATATCATTGAATTATAAAAGTACATTAGTGTTGAGCCTAAACCAATGTTTGGAAAATCGGAATAGCAGCCTAAATTGAGGACCACTACTCATATCACCCGATCCACATCAGCCATTCCTGATTCAGAGCAGCATACAAACTCCATGGGAAAGAAAAGGAGCCGGGGGGAAGAGGGCGATCCCTTGGTTCCTGAGAACCGGATTGAACCGGTGGAACAGGGGGACTACTTCTTGTCTGCTATTCTTTGTGTGTGTGTGTGTGTGTGTGTGTGTGTGAGTGTGTGTGTGTGTGTGTGGTGTGTGTGTGTGTGTGTGTGTGTGTGTGTGTGTGTGAGAGAGAGAGAGAGAGAGAGAGAGAGAGAGCAGGGTTGGCATTTAGTTACCGCTTTGTTTGGGTGGCAGGTGAAATGAGACACTAGTGGGATGGGATTAGCATTTCAAAGAATAGATGTAAATTTTCCATTTTAAAATAGCTTTCTTGAATGATATGATATTCTCTTAAGTTCTTTGCCAAAGTGGTATTTTAGTGAAAAGGCCAGAATTTTTTTATTTATGTGGACATTAGTTCATTTGAGTGCAATTTCCTTTCATCATAGGTTCCATGGATACTATCTGGCACCGTACGAGATAATATCTTGTTTGGGAAGGGCCATGAGGCAAAAAGGTTTGGAACCAACTTACCATGATCTACAATTTTCTTAGTAAACTTCCGCCCTGATCTTTTCTTATTTAATTTGGCTTTCTAAAATAGATACAATGAAGTTGTTACGGCTTGTGCCATGGATGTTGATATTGGGCTAATGCCTGGAGGTGACCAAGCATTTATTGGAGAGAGAGGACTCAACTTATCAGGTGGACAGAGAGCTCGTCTCATGCTAGCAAGGTAATGTGCCAATTAAGATATTTATTGGAGACTCTGTTGTAAGCACTACCATTGAGGACAATTCTGTTTGATTCATGTAAGAATCTATGGATGTACAGAGCTATATATCACGGCTCGGATATCTACTTGCTTGATGATGTACTTAGTGCAGTTGATGCACACGTGGCAAGCTGGATTTTAAAGAATGCTATCCTTGGTCCATTGATGGAACAAAAGACACGAATTATGTGCACCCATAATATTCAGGTGAATTTTTTTCTTTTTTTTCTGAGTGATTTCAGGTGACTATTTTCTGAAGCATTTGCAAATTGTTCTCATTATAGTTCCTTCTATTATTATGGTTCCTTCTATTAGACAATAAATCTGTCTACAGTAACTCTATACTATTTCTTTAAACTACGAGAGTGTTTATTGTCTATTGCCAAGACAAATTAGATTGTACCAATCTTTAGTTTATTTCTTCCTCTTAACACTTCTCCCTTTCCTTCCCTTCATTATTGTTCAAAATGGATTTGAAAATAAATAATGTGTCCTTAATATTTTTTAATAGTATGTTTCCTAAATATTACTGAAAACAATTGTGTCCTTAAACTATATCCTCATCTCCATCACCCTCAAACTCCCAGACTATAATAAGGGTGTGAACTTTAACTTAAATAATAGGGATGTGGATGGAAATAATTTGACTACTTTCTCCTATCCCTCCCTCCTTTGTCTCCTCACTCTCTTCTCACCCTATCCTTAACTTTTCTTCCCATGCATCTCACAGGTCACAGACTGGTACATGCTTGAAATGAAAAAAGTAGCAAGCAAAGATCATGTGATCTATGTTTTAACTCTCTGCAGGCAATTTCTTCTGCTGATGTGATTATAGTTATGGAAAATGGGCAAATGAAGTGGATGGGACGCTATGCTGATTTCCTAGTATCACCGTGCAATGAATTTCAGACTCTGAAAGACATGGGCTCATTACCTTCTAGTGTTCCTGTTGAAGGAAGCAATATAAGCAATAAAAAGGGAATCAAGGCTACTTTCATAACTCAGAGCGACTGTAATATTGATTCTTTGAATGAACCACCTCAAATAACTGAAGTAGAACAAAGGAAAGAGGGTAGAGTTGAATACAGCATCTACAAGTGAGTCTAACTCCAACCCACATGGACTTGAAATCAGCTGTTGAAACCTAGTAGATATTTATATTTCCAGATGCCTCTAAAGTAGATGGATACTATCAATCAAAAAAAGGAAAAATGATACCCGTGAAGAAGCCTGTCATTTGACAAGGATATCATGCTTACTTCACAACCTAACATGCAGTTGATCTTACCCATTTGTAATGGATTTTTCATGTTGTGTTCTTGAGCTTATCCATTTTGTCATGGACAATTTTTCATGTTGTGTTCTGAAACCATTGGGAGCCAGCATTTCAATATTTTTAGAATATCCAAAATGCGTTGAAGCTTTGTGAGCTGTTTTTTCATTAGAAATAAAATGAGCTGTTTTTTCATTAGGTTTGTATATTTCTTTTCTTTTTTCTTATATATTTCATAGATATTCAGATCTGTATAATTTTTAACAACTGTACCTTCCCTATCCTTTCCAAAACTGGGCAACATGAGAACTAATTTTCCTTGTACACTTTTGGAATCCCTTTGGTTTTTATTTTACTGCATCAGCTCACTGTTTCATGTATCTTGCAGAAACTATGCAGTATTTGCCAGCTGGTGGCTTGTTGCGATAATATGTTTATCTGCATTCTTAATGCAATCCACCCGCAATGGAAATGATTTCTGGCTGTCGCACTGGGTTGATACGTCTTCCAAGAGCCCAAATCTAAATACTTCAGTGCACTACTACCTGGTATGATTCTCACATGAGCTGTGTTCTTTACAAGTGAAAAGAGATAGTCTCCATGTTATTTATGAGTTATACTGTTTGGATCACATTTGCTTTGTTCAGAACAATCTCTAGAGATATTTATCTAAGGTAACATAATGACAAATACCAAATCTCGTTCTTCTGCTAATCATATGAAATGTATTCTTGTATAGGCTGTTTTATGCATATTTGCTGTAATGAACTCCCTTCTCACCTTAATCAGAGCATTTTCATTTGCTTATGGGGGTTTACGGGCAGCACTTCAGGTGCATAACAACCTTCTGAGTAAACTGTTAACTGCTCCTGTTTATTTCTTTGACCAAAATCCAAGCGGAAGAATTCTTAACAGGTAAGAATATGAACTCACAGCTATATTAGATGACATGCTAGAATATGTCAATCTTAATGTTACTCTCCAGCAGGTTCTCATCTGATCAATATACCATTGATGATTCTCTTCCATTTATTCTCAACATTCTCCTGGCAAACTTCTTCAGTCTTGTGGGAATTGCAACAGTTTTGTCCTTTGTGCAGGTAAGGCCAGACAATATATTGGCAGGCATGCCATAAACTTTCCAGGTTAGCTTAGAATCACATGTTTAACCTGTTACAAATGCTATAACTCCTTGATGATTTTGTGCAGATTTATTTCCTTTTACTGCTGGTGCCACTTTGGTATATCTACAAGAAATTGCAGGTATCACACTCATAGATCTCTAATTAGCTTCCTCTAGCATCTCCAAAATCAGGGTTCAATTTTCAGAACGTGTAAATAATATAACCTATGTGTAATCTCTTGGCTGAAACTTTGAGGAACAATGTCTCGATCGAGATGATTTGACATCCATGTAATTTGTTAAAAGTATTTTCTTTTCTTTCCTTTATCTTTTAGATAAAATGTTGATGTGTGGTACAGTGAGAGAAATCAGGATCACTCTGACAGCTGCTTGGATGTGTGTTTTCTCAACTTGTTGGCATGCTTTGTATGTTTGTTTTGCTCTTTTGTCCCAAATTGTCAGAAATTCAATTTTTTTTATTATAAATTTAGGAGAGAAGTATAGCTTAGCTACCATATAATATCGTGGAGAAAATGCTATTGATGTTCGTTGTGATACAGTAGCGGTTACAATGTTGCCTTCATTAATTTTTTCATGTGTAAACAGTAGTTCTAGTCAAGATGTAGCCTCAGCTGTTTTGATGTGTAGGGCGACTGTGGTTTCACTTTAAAATAAAATTTGCTACAGTTTTACTATAGATGCACATCCCGTGAATTGAGAAGGCTGGATAGTGTTTCTCGCTCTCCTATCTATACATCATTCAATGAAGCATTAGATGGATCTTCCAGTATAAGAGCTTTCAAGGCAGAGGTAATAATCAGGAGACCTTTATTGGAGTATGCCGTCATGAGTTGGTTACCAATTTCCAATTTATTTCTTTGACAACTCTACTGGGTAAGTATTCTCTTCTTAGACTTTGATGTTTGAAGATTTCAATTGGGAGCATTATTATCACTAATAGACATTCATTTAATGCTATCAATCTCCCTAGGCTGAGAAATTCAAGTCAACCACTCTTGTGACATGAATAAATTTTTTGTTCTTTTTATTATACTTAGACTTTTTTTTTTCCCTCTCATACACATCTTAGTTGTCTTTAAATCATGATTAGTGAGACAGCTAGTAAGTTTTTTATTGTGTGGATATTATTCATTGAAATGGCAAACTGAATTCTCCCAGGTTATGTCATTGAGCATTTAATCTTCTCATTGACATTAAAGCAGTCCTGCAGTGTTAAATGTTTAACCGGTCTAACTGTATGCAGCACTTGGTTGTGCTGTATTTTTCATAGTATGTATAGATTTCAATTTCCAATAGAGGATGATGCTGATATCATTTGGTAAAGAACGCTTTTCTGTTGAAAACCAATTTCCTGATGAGCTATTGTAGTGCCTTATGTGCATGTATTTCTTTCAAATGGCCCTTAGTTATATGAGAACAGCATATATAAACCTACAGTAAATGAACTGATTTGTCCTTTCTGAAGCTCTCCCAGTAAAAAGGTTTGTGATGGAGAAGGATGCAGCATATGTAGGAATCGTTGCACTATGAGTTTATGACAGCCAAGAGGATTCATTCATATACCCCAAATTGTACTTGAGTTAGTTCTGATTGGGCCTGTGAAGAGGATGTTCATGACTACATTCACTAAGCATGTCATGCTAAATCATCAAACTTTGGCCTGTGCAGAAAATGTTCATGGCTACATTCACTAAGCATGTAATGCTAAATCAACGCACTTCTTACTCAGAGCTATCAGCTAGTTGCTGGCTCTCTTTGCGTCTCCAAGTAAGTCTTAACCTTCTATTTCTCATTTATTCCTGTCCCATATCCATTTCCCAGGCCAGTGCTTGATTGAAATGGAGTAACTTTTTATGTAGTAAAAAATTTATGTTCCTCGACTTCTTTTAAGATGAACAGTAACTTTTCCTGTAGAAATTTTTGCATTATAATTAACTTTCGATGCTCCAGGTTTGTCTAATAAACTTGAACTGTTTAGTTGCTTGCAGCATGTGTTGTTTCTTTCATTGCCATCATTGCTGTCCTTGGCAAAGGAGGAGGTCTTCCTGTCAGTTTTGGCACACCTGGATTGGTATGCTTTTCACACTTCGTCAAAAGTCTCTTTGATATCTTCACTGCCATTAATATTTATTTTACTTAATAGTCTAACATAGTGGCTTCACAATGGAGTTTATATGCATTTTGTCTTTGAATGATAAATCCCCAATACTTTCCACCTGATAATTTATTTATTATTGCAGGTTGGCCTAGCTCTCTCCTATGCAGCACCACTTGTATCTTTGTTAAGTAATTTCCTGACAAGCTTTACGGAAACAGAGAAAGAAATGGTTTCTGTTGAAAGAGTACTTGAGGTATTGGCAAGACTTGTAGCATTTATTTACACAATTATATATTTCATATATGCTAAAAAACTTTTCTAGTACATGGATATTGCTCCAGAAGACCTTCAGGGATGCCAATCTGTAAATTCAGATTGGCCCTCACAAGGAGAAGTTGAATTTCATCATGTCAGCCTGAGATATATGCCATCATTGCCACTGGCGCTTCAAGATGTTTCATTTTGTATTTCAGCCGGTACACAGGTCAGTAGCGATGGAGAGGCAATTACAGATTTAAACCTGCTAATTCATTCTTTTTTAGACAAAGGTAGGTCAGCTATATTTGGTTTTTTTTGGGACAAACTTTAAGGATTTGAACACCTGGACCTCCCGCACTCAAACTGATATGTCTACCACTAAGCCAAAGCTTCCCAATTCATAATTACAAAATAGTGCTCTTTTGTTCCATATTCTTGTAAAGTATAGCATAGTATAACTCAGCAAATGATTGGAAAAACTATAGTTCCATTGGGTCATGACTGTCCATTGAAATGACTGTGATGGAGGGAGTAGGACCAACGCAATATGACATCGACCCAAACGTGGGTCCCTCTCTCTCTCTATTACCATCCATCATTTCGATGGATGGTGATGACTCAATGAACTCTGGCTTTTTTGTAGCTCTTTGGATTACACTATACTTTCCATCAGTTTAAAGTATGTTTGATGATGACGTTGCAGGTTGGAGTTGTTGGAAGGACGGGTGCTGGAAAATCCAGCGTGTTAAATGCCCTATTTCGTTTGACACCAATTTGTGAAGGGCATATTTTAATTGACAGAATAAATGTAGCCAATGTTGGAGTTAGAGAACTTCGCGCACGTCTAGCAGTTGTTCCACAAAACCCATTCTTATTTGAAGGAACATTGAGGTATCTATTAGGTCTTAGCTAGATTTACATTCCATGTTCTATTCATGTTAAGAAACCAAAAACTAGAGCTCAAATCTAGATTCACAATTTGACTTGTCAATTTAATTTTCATTGTTATAACATGTGAGTGAGAAAATCAGTTGTGATATCTATATTCAGATTGGATTTCATTGATCTTTTCCTTGTGTCTCCATGTCAAGAGCTTGAAATACATGATAATGCAATTTGTCGAAAATGACTATGTCCTGTTAGGGATAATCTGGACCCCTTTAAGGTGGCAAATGATTCAAGTATCTGGGAGGTTCTTCAGAAATGTCATATCAGAGAAGAAGTACAGGCAGCTGGTGGGCTAGGCATTCATGTGAAGGAAGCTGGTGTATCATTCTCTGTTGGACAACGACAGCTTTTATGCCTCGCTCGTGCACTACTTAAGTCTTCTAAGGTACATATTTTATGACATATTACCTCTTTCTTTTACTTCAGCGAATATTACAAAGAAAAACTTAGCAAGCAATACTACATGTTAACATCTAGAGTCCAAAAAATGCAATTTATCATCGTAGATTCTGAGTTGTACTTAAGAGTTGCACGCACTATCATTAGTGCTGAAACAGGTAGCAAAGAAGTGAAGAACAAAGCACAATCTGAAAATTATTGCACATGGGGACAGGCCTGCCATTGTCCTTATTGGCCACCAAATTTTCATGATGCATATTTTGCATGGAGGCAGTGACTGTCAAAACTCCAACTAGTATTTTTTTTAGTGCGTGTAGATAATACTATTGCTTAGTAATACATTTTTGTTCATCCTAAGCAATGAAAGAAGATTCGGCTGCCTTGTTGCCTAGGGGCCCATTTGACAAAACTGCCTATGTGTGGAGTAGGCGGTATGCTCCAAACGGGTGCATCAAGACGCCTGCCTAGGAGGCATAGAAGGCGGGCACCTCCTCGAACATTCGAGACTGAGGGCAGAAAATGCCCGTCAAGCATTGGGGAATCTCGTCATTTTCCCTCCTAAAAAGGGGAGTAAAAGAGTTTTGGGGGCTATTCTTGCCCCTCAAAATGTTTTTAGTGAGGTTTAGAGTGAGAAAAAGCTTGAAAAAAGCAAGATTTGAAGATTTGTAGAGAGATTGAAAATTTTTTCGACCTCCTAGAACGCTCACAAAATTGAAGGATATTCATTCTCAATCTTTTTGAGGCTTCTAGTGGTTGTAAAAGATGAGATTTGGGAACCAAAACTTTTTGATTTGGGCAGGTATCAATTCCATTTCAAGAAGGTTGATATATTCAATATTTTTTATCCGGTTTTTTTTTTTTAACAGTGTCTTTTGATGCCTTTGCTTTTTGTATTTCTATTTTGATACTTTATGATATATATTTGATATGTTATCAACTATTTGCAATTTGGGATTATTTTCCCATTTTGATATTTAGTTTGGGTCTTTGGGAAAGCAATTCAATGGAAAACGTCCATTGCCCCCAAAACCAAATGAATCTTTTTTAAAAAAATATTTATGCATGAGTTTACTTGTATAATTCATAAACCATAACTTTTATCCCCATAAATTTTTTTTAATAGATAATTTAACAATTGCGTATTAAGTAATTACATGAGTAATATGTGTTTTTCGATTTTATGTGTTATATCATAGCAATTTTGATTCGTAGGTTTTACCTAGATTTTCTTTTCTTTTTTTTTCTTTTTTTTTTTTGCGTCGATCATGCTTGCTTTACTTCATCCTTGGATTGTTAAGAACTCAAGATAGTAAAAAGTCAATATACTAATTCTTTCTGTCATTTCTTAAAGATGGTTCTCAAACAAAATCAGCATCTCGGAAGAAATTTTCTTAACACTATCTAATAAAGGTTTTTAGTACCAATACAAGTTCCTTTTTTTAGAATTATTCGCACTATATTGTACATCTTTTTGATGGACTCTTTTATCCGCATCTCATACTAAAATAAAGGCAAACTGCTTCTTGCAGGTATTGTGTTTGGATGAGTGTACTGCCAATATTGACGCTCAAACTGGATCAATAATACATGAAACTATTTCTAGTGAATGCAATGGAACCACAGTGATAACCATAGCTCATCGCATTCCCATAGTTTTGAACATGGATAACGTTCTCGTTCTCGACCATGGAATCCTGGTAATGTTCAAATTTTTTCAGAGTTATTATATGAGACTGCTGTCTACTGTTTTATCTTCAATGACTTTCTCAAATGTCATTTGGGATTATTATTTCTTTTTTGGAAAAATTGCAGTCTTTTTTCATCTTTTGGTAAATTCTAGTATGATTTATTTTGGAATAGTTCTTCAATTGCTTGGATTCCATTTTGTCTCCAACGGTTTCAAAATGAAATGTGTACCTTAGAAAGTCAACTCATATATGTGCAAAATATATAGCTATTCATTTATAATGGGATAAAATTAGCATTACACTGATTTAGTAATTTATGTACTTTATATTGCCATGACGTTCATCAATCAATGTCTTTATAATCTCATCGTACCAGGAACTCGCCACTGAGGTGAGTTACTTGGGTGAGTCTGAGTGGACTCAGTTAAAGTAATGTAAGCTACGGAAAAAGGTTAAAAAATAAAAAGAAGGTAAAACATTGTAAAAATAGTTGAAAACAAAAAATAAATAAAAGAAGTAATAGAAATAATTTAAAAACTATAGAAGATAAAAAACAATTGTAGAAGATGGAACATTGAAATTTTTGGTTTATACCATGAATATTTCAGAAAAATATATAAAAAAGGAAAAACTAAAAAATTAGATCATGTGATAAGAAAAGTTCCCAAATAATCTTAAAAACCTTCAAAATCATCTATAACGTATTTCTAAATATTTGATGAATTTTTAACCTTTTTTCTTATCTATTTTATTGGTGCCTAGCGAGTTGGGCATGCGAACTTTTTTTTTGAGAAAGGCGATATTCATTAAGATATTGAAAGAGTACAACAGAAAGAAAAAAGCACAAAAAAGAAGAAACAAAAGAAGGGAAGGAAAAGAAGAAGGCCATGAGCAGGCGGCCACCAACACGGGCCAGAGTCAAGCAATAGCCTCTTTTGCCAAACAGTTGGCATCAGAATTGGCACTTCTATAGACATGAGCGAAGAGACGTTCCTGCCCTAGTGTCAATAGAATTTCATCCGTGATCACACTCAGTCTCCAAGGAATCCGGCAAAGTTGGGAGCACCATAAAATAACATTGACCTAGTCGCCTTCAATTATGACCTTCCTGTGAGACTTGGCAAGACGAGAGACCCCAATTTTATCTGCTCAAAGCTCAGCTTCATTGATCTCAAAGGTATAATGGGAGCTCGAGGAAGACCAGATTAAAGATCCATTATGATATCAAAGAAGGCCACCAAAGCCAGACCGAGCCCCCCTAACGCTCCCATCAAAGTTCAATTTAAACCAGCCTATGGGAGGTTTAGTCCAAACACGTCGGATAGACGGTCGACGATATTTAAGAAAGAGTAAGTCTTTGAAGGAGGAGAAAAAGAAGGAGATTAGGAACAGCCGTAAGAGGAAGTGAAGCATAAGCCCGCATGATGACCAAGCGCTGAATATCTGAGAGTAAGGGGATAATATCTCTCGATCGACCCTTGAAGGTCAGCAAGTTTCTCTCTTTCCACAGATTCCAAAGAGAGGCAGCAATCGTAATTCTCCACAGGTTACGATCCAGCGAGGCAAAGGAGGGGTTCCAGACTTGTTGAAGAAAAATATTGGCATCTTAAGACCATGGGTTGTGCAGCCAGCCAAGCTGTCAACCCACTCCCAAATGGCAGCAGCATACTTGTATCTATGAAAGACGTGGGCGATGGTTTCCTCATCCTCCTTACAAGGTAAACAGACATTGGTAAAAATCATTCCTCTTCTACGAAGTTGATCAACAGTGAGCAATCTTTTGTAAGCAAAAAGCTACAGGAATGATCTAGCTCTAAGAGGCACCTTGTACTTCCAGAATTTGGCTAGATGTTTTTTTCCCCAATGTACCTATCCTTCCAAATTTCTTTATATAGAGATTAACAGAGAAGAATCCTTAACGCCCAGGACTCCAGATCAATGTATCTCTCTTCCATGGGTTAAAACAAAAGAATACAAGGCATCCATTAGTGTCAAGAATTGGGCTTCAACCTAATGGTTCACCTTTCTGATGGAGAGTGTAACATTCCAAACAGGTTTGCTATGTACAAGGGAAACCATGTCTGCAACCATAGCTCTTTTCTGATTGGACTTATTGTAAAGATCTGGAAACAAAAGTTTAAGAGGATAATCTCCCAGCCACTTAGCGTACCAGAATCTAGTGTTTCGACCATATCCAACCAGCCACCTGGAGTAAAACAGAAAGAGGGTTTTGACGCCTTGGATGCCTTTCCAGATTCTAGAAGGATTACCAGATCTCGGCCTTCTTCTCGCATAGGGGCCATCAGGATCTAGTTGGGCATCTGTACTTGCCCCAACTCGCCTCACCCATTAGGTGAGGCCGGGTAACTGTGCTGTATTATGCAGAGTCTTAGGACGCTGATCACAACTATAAGTTGATTCTTTCTATTCAGAACTCACATCCATTTTTTTCGATTCTATTTATTTATTTTCCTTTGTTGGGTCAGTATGCTGGGGATTCAAATTGGCAACCAATTAGCTATAGCTCCCAAGCATGAGCCTAACCGAAACCACAGATTGAAATTCAACAATATCCTATAGACAATAGTGAATTAGGGCAACCTAGTTTTCACATTTATTGTTGCATTTAGCATGTAAAGTTGGGTGCAACTAAGTTGTCAAATAACCTAACTGAGAACAATTTTGTCTATTCGTGGACCCCCTAGTCATGATTTCTTGTGGAAATTTGCAGTGATTTTATCATATGATAATGAGATGCACGTAGTGTTTAACATGTGTTTTATGCATAGTCAAATACTATTGATTGTATAAGGAATTTCTGAAGGTTCAAAAGATACTGAGTGTGATTTAATTTTCACAGGTTGAACAAGGAGACCCACAGGTTCTTCTACGAAATGGCAGCTCTAGATTGGCAGGCTTTGCAAGAGCTTCCATTTAAGCGGTATTATATGTGTGATAATGAATATGCATGCATGTTTAAGTGCATTAAGCCATTGTCAAATATCATATAAATTGTTCATGTATGAGTTATGTAAATGTTATATTTAAGGGATGCATGGGAATGGAATAGACCGAGAACTTGCCTTATCAGATTTTTTTTGGGATAAGTGCTTGCCCTATCAGATTGGCGAAAGCTTACTGCAAATTGGATAAAATTTTGCAGAATACAAATGACCATATGATTAATTTTTTTTAAATTAATTATTATGAATTTCATTCACCCATGAACGATTACAAAGAGGTTCAAGAAGAAAAAAGTATAACCACCAATGAATGTTGGTGTACACCACCCTTTGCTAAAGCATCAGCTTCTATATTATGACCATATACTTAATTATCTTTCAAACCAAAAAGCTCATATGAATACTGCCTCGGAACACGTTCCTGTGCGTGTTATGAACCGGTGGGGTATCATTTTAGGTGACACTGTGGTTCGGTGACTCCTTTGGATGCCATTTAGTCCCCGTTCTAATTCTGCAATATAAAAACTGATAATACCCGTTTTCATTACAAATGCAATGACGTCTAACGTTTGGAGGGGAAAAGGCAAAAAAAAAAGGTGTTTTATTTTGTTGGATTCTAACCACTTCTTTTCCTGCAATCTGCGGTTTAGTAATCTCGTGGTTTGACTCTTGACATGCAGCAGTTTTGCTGTCTAAATAAAATTTTCTTTTAAAATGTCACACACTAAGTGGTATTTTAAAAATGTCATCAGAGCATTTTCCCAACTATTTGAGGCCGACTGCGTTTAAAAAATTGTGTGCACATGTAAAATTGGCAAAATATGGTACTGACAGTTATTTCAGCATGTAAAATGTTGCACCAAAAGTGCTTATGCCATGGTATATAAACCAAAACACTTGTTGCAGCCACACCTGCTATAACTTTTCAATGTGCTGGTAGTGTGAAACATAAGAGGAATGAAGTCATGGGTGGCCATGAATCTTTGAAACATTGCATGCTTTGGTGGTCTGACGATCTTTAATCTCTTTAGGACAAAACTCTCTCTCTCTCGGGTTGATTTTCTTATTTTGACTAGGACTAAATACAATGGAGAGAAAACAGGCATTTCTAATAATGAACTGATTTGAGCGCTTATTTGTGGCAGTTTTCAAACAAGAGGGGTTTTTTTTTAGGCAAGTCAGTAGGAGAACAAGAGGGGTTAAAACGTGAACAATGACAAACATGATTTGGAGCGACTCCCAACTTAGCATGTTCCACAAAAGAGAGTTAAACGAAGTTACCTTTTGCAAAAAGAGGTCAGGTCATCATCATCAGCAGCTCTTTTTCAATTATTTGGGGTTGGCTCTATGCAATAAAAGATGCATATAATAAAACCCAACATTTAAGTAGATCTTTCTCCTTGGTTGCAGTAGGACAGCTACTTCTTCTCTAAGGACTTGACTACATAAGGACACAGATAATGCAACCAACTGAAGCAGTCAAGGGACAACACATGCATCATGGGTTCCAAGACTCAGTTGCATATTCAAAGCATCAATACAGGAAAGAATCAGGCCTCAGATTTCTAGTATATACCTAAATTGATTCTCAATTTCCGGTCATCCTTCGAATTGAGATTGCTTAGGGTGTAACCAGTTTGATGCATTGTTCGGTCTTGCACACCTGCGTTCTTAACCAACATGAACACTCGTAATAATTAAGAAAAACGCAATAAAACCCGAGCACAAGCAACATAAATTATATACATAATATTAACGACATTCCCATGCCCAAATGAAGGATGCATATACAATATCTTTCGGAAAATTTGCCAACTTTGCAACAATTTAACAATTTTCCCACTTTCTGCTGTTGGTTTTTTTTGGGTAAATAAAACAGAGCAATGAGGAAAACAGTTCCCACGAATGGCCCATGCAAGTATCGAACCTACGATCTATGAATACAACGGTAAATAGTTGAAATTAAATCAAAAGATACAAATCAAATACTAAATAGTTGAACTATCTTATTTAACCGAAAATCTTTGAATTAACAAAGATCTTACATATCCAAACTTAGAGAATTGCATCATCAATAGGCCCAACGACCAGATAAAATTGTAATATCAGCTGGCCAAAGCTCAGAAATAAATGGCTGATTCAAAATAAAATCTACCCAAAATCCTCATAGTTCTCAACAGTGGAGAAAACAATCGTGGAGGCCCTTTCTTCAGCCTACGATGACCCAAATAAAAGAAATACAAATACAAAGTTGCAACCCAAGATTAGAGAGATTCATGCCCAGATCGGAGAGGCTCAACACTTGATGAAATATTAAATTCAATTGAAATATCGCCTTCCCTATACATGCATAGAGACATGAATGACTGCATATTGTGCATGTAAGCCTACAAACAGCGAAATACATAACACACGCCATGCATACATATGTCATTGCACATGCATGTGCACAGAGACGCACACACTCATATATGCAAGTAAATCCATGTCCGACGAATTCATGCAATTTGAGCAAATATAAGGACAATTCATCGTAAGCAATTCACTGCACCTCTTCATCAATCCAATAAAGAAATTCGAACGGAAAAAAACACAAAAGAAAAAGAGAGAAAGAAAAGGTACAATTACTACAAAATCATTGAGGTCTAAACAATTGCTGCTAACCGAATCGAAGAGCCCTAACCAAACCCAAAACCGAACCCAAAAATGCTCGGTTAACTTTACCTTCTTAGCTAAGCCACTCTCTCCACTAAAGCACAAATACACACTCATCAGTCTATCTTCACTGATGAGTATATGAGTCTGGTGAACCAGAAGCATGCATAGAACCCAATCGTGCCAGTAAGCACAAAGAAAGCATATGAGACTATGAGCATGTATCCAAAGTAGAGCAACCCAGACACTGGCTTCGTGATTTCAAGCTTCGTAAAGAAGTAGAAAGCAGCATAGAGGAAGAGATAGAGAGCTGAAGAACCCGATGTCAAGTAAGACCTCCACCACCATAGATAGTCCTCACTGCAGAGCTGGAAATAGCATAGCACGATGGTTATCTCAGCACAAGTGACGAGGAGTATTAGGAAGACCACGAAGAGGAAGCCAAAGATATAGTAGAATTGGTGGAGCCAAATAGAGGTCAAGATAAAGAAGAGCTCGATAAAGACTGCCCCAAAAGGAAGGATCCCTCCTATAAGGATCGAGAAGGCAGGGTTCATGTACCAAGCTTGTTCAGGTATTTGTCGAGGTATCTTATTGGTCTTAACAGGGTCTTCAATTGCAGGTTTCTTGAAACCAATGTAGCTTCCAACGAAAACTAGTGGAACCGAGATGCCAAACCAAAGAAAAACTAGGGCAAACATGGTGCCAAAAGGGACAGCGCCAGAGGACTTCTCACCCCAAATGAGGGCATTCAAAACAAAGAATATGGCGAAGACAATACCAGGAAAAGTGAAGGCAGTCTTTAGGGTTATCTGTCTCCATTCAGTGCCTTTGAACATTTTGTAGAGGCGTGCTGAGGCGTATCCAGCAAAGAGCCCCATGAAGACCCAAAGGAGAAGCATAGCAGTCATTAGGCCACCTCGGTTTGATGGAGAGAGAAAACCCAACATCGCAAAGATCATGGTTACAAGGATCATGCCAAAGAATTGGACCCCTGTGCCTGCATAGACACAGAGGATGTCGGAATTGCTTGGGGGTCTAAACACATCGCCATGGACCAGTTTCCAGCCAGTTTCTTCTTGAGCTTCTTCTTGGGTCTCGAGTTGGTTGTATTTTGAAATATCTCGATAGAGGGTTCGCATCATGATCATGGCCACCATGCCTGAGAGGAAGAGGACAATCATGAGGGAGTTCACAATGGAGAACCAATGGATTTGATCATCAGTCATAAGAAGGTATGTGTCCCATCGAGATGCCCACTTCACCTCACTTGACTGCATAATAACAAAAACTGGCATCATTCATCTACCAGAAAGAAGCAAGGAATCAAATGTGAAGTAACGCGCTGAGATTTTTTTTTTTAATGGATAAAAACGCCATACTCCAATGGACTATGGGAAAAACCATAGTCCATTTGGGATCATATCAGATTTGAAAGCAATCAAATGAACAGGAAGGGCAGGTAATGATTTTAATCTGGGGATAATTATTGCCCATGGGGGTTGTTGCTGTACAATAGGTTTTCTTGAGTCTATTGGACTACAGCATATCTTCCCCATTTGTATATGTTTATCAAAGATATAGGAAACGGTGGAGGATGAGAACTCGGCTCTTAACTATCCATTCCATAAATATTTTACTCCAATTGGACAGGCTTAAAAGTCAGCTTTTCATCTAATCAGTATTTTCAAATAGAATTGCATTGAGATGATTTGACCAATTCAGTTCAGAAACATATCAACATCAGATTTAATGCATTCGTTTTCTAAAGGGTGCTGTTTGTATAGAGCCTAGACTCTAAACAATCAAATTAGAGCCTACCTTCAAATAGTGTCGAGAAATGTGGTTTCAATATTGGAAATCTTTGTGATAGCCTTAAAGTATATTTTCATATTTATTTATAAAGTTTAAAGCTTCAAAAATAGTGTAGATCGACATATCTATGAAAAGTTGAAAATCTTGAAAATTGACGGTCCAAAAATGCGTTACAAAATGCACTATTTCCAAAATTTGCAATCCATTTTTTTCTCATGTCCATGCATCTTGATGTTGAGATGATCAATTTGAAGATATTTGGGTATCAAAACAACCTCTTCTTGGGAGATTTTTGAGGTAGGCTCAAATTTGATTGTTTAGAGCCCCGGCTCTATATAAACTTTTCCCTTTTCTAAATGGAACAACCCAAAACATTGATGGCTTTGACTGATCTCAACTGGTTATGTCCAATTTTAAGCCACATCATAGAAAAACATCGCCATGCGTTTTTCTACGCTGTGGGTTAAAACTTGACAAAATCAGTTGAAATGCCAAAAACATTTAGTCACCCCAAAAGAAAAAGAAATACGTTTCCAATTTGGACATGTATGAGTCAAGTTTTGCTAATATCTGTTTAGAAGATAGCCGATCTGTCTGATACACCAAATGATAACATAATTGACAGCATTCTATTCTGACTTTTTGAAAGGTAAACTTGACAGAGTGATGGGCAAGCCTTAAAATCTTTGAACCCCAACACCAAAAGTGATTTTCAAAACCCTGGATCCAAAAATTATAGGCAGAATAATGAAAGCCTAAAAGGTAGCCCACATCAAACCCTACCTCAAAAGCGACATCATACGTAAATAGCATTTCCTTGTTCTCCTCAACTTCTTGAGGAGCATCGGACCCGGTAACCGTATGTTTAGCATGTGGGTCACAAGTCGACAAACGGGTCTTCTCAGACCATTCACCTTCATAATCATGCTTGACACTGAAACAGAAAAATAAAAAAAAATAAGAAAAGCAAGTATGTGAAGCAAAATGAAGTCCAAAGCAAGACATTGTTAAAAAAAAAAGGAATGGGAAAATTAGTATGCTTATCAGCTGAAACAAAACCTGTATGGCTTGACCTCAAATCCAACAATTCTAGCAGTGCTTGCCTCAAGATCACTGTGATACTTGACAACAAACGATAGATGGTTGTGGATAAAGTACCGCTCTTCTGTACTCTACGACACATGACACAATTTTTAAGTCATTACAGAGTACTTCATAATTGACATACATTTTGTTAATTATTGGAAAATAAAGCTATAAATTTTTCAAGGTATATCTCCTTTTTATCTCACCCCAGCATATCGGCCTTTGAAGCCAACATGGAAACCATGTTGGTAAATTGTTGTGTCCAGTTCAGATCGTTTAACAGGAACAACCAGAGGAAGATTATCAAGGATCCTGCAACACACAATGTTGATTGCCAAATTGGTCCTTTTTTCCGAAAATATGCAGAATCATCAAGAATAATTTAAACTGAAATATCTTCACCAAATGGCCTGGACTCGAGAAGAAGCTCCTTGGAAACAGAGAAGCAAAACATCAAAGCTTACATGTTCACCCGGTACTCCTCATCTATTTTCTCAATGAAATCCTTTGCAGCCTTTGCATCAAGAGTTATCTTACAAACCGCATTGCACATCTGTGGAATCCTCATTTGAAACTGCAGAACTACCACCCCATCAGAAACCATAAACCCAAACTATGTGAAATAAATCTTGAGAACCCATTTTCCGAAAATTATACAAAGCTTACCACATATGGGGAGTTTTCAATGCGATCACCGCGGAGAACTTCCCCAAGATTCTCAGCACTATCGGTGATCTTCTCAGGATGACAGTAAGGCAGAGAATAATATGAATATGGAAGCTGCGTCTTTGTTGAGGTCAGCTTGTTCACTTTCACATTCAGAAAGCTACCCTGCAGTCACAATAAAGTGTTAGCAAAAGAGTCAATAGTTGCCGAAAAAGGAACCAAATTTAAATTCCTCCAGAAATGTAACAGGAAACACATAATCAATCTAATCTTAACAAGCAAATTACAAATCTGGTTTTCTAATTAGCAGTTTTTATATCTAATTTCAATCATGTACGAGCAAACGATGACTGATTTCTGTAACCATTATCAAGAATATAGAAATAAATGGAGCGTTGTAATGTTTACCATGCCCAAAAACTATGATTACATAAGCATCATATCACCATAATATATTCAAACTTCAACATAGAGCTCTGAAGGAGGATTCACAACCTTCATGTCAAGAAATTCAACTCATGGTCAATATTTGTTGACTATGGGCACCTCCACAATATAGGAGAGCACCCTTAGCAAATATCTAAGTTCACAAAGTCGATGATGGAGCCGAATTTAAACTTAATTAATGACACAAATATCTCACACATTGACGTATTCATATAACAACCAATGAATACAATGCCAGTATGGAATATCTTAAAGCACCCCATGAGTCTGTTTATATTCTAGAGGGCTGCATGGCGAAGTCTCCCGAATCAAGCTACACAAGCTTGTTCGAAGTCATATTTATTGTTGAATTAATTGTAATTACAATAATATTTTTTATTACGTTACTTAATTTTCTTTATCAAAATTCTAAGTGTGAATATATAGCAATATTTATTTATTTCACTATATTATTTGTCATACTATTTTTATCAATGTTACTTTATATGTATATAACCTTTCAATGAAACCTGTGAAGCCGATGTATCTTACTCGTTCAGTTTAACAGAAAAAGAAGTTGTGCCTTTCTCCCTCCCACTACAGCCATCCTCATCTAGCATGGCATCCTGACTAGACTGATGAGTGAAAACTTCAGACCAAAACTTTCTTTCATGTTCCAGCAGAAACATTAGGGTCTCTCAACTTCCATGGGCTCTAGGAGAGTCATATTCATCAAACATCCTCCATTTCCAGCAGTTTCTTGTCCAAGATAGTAGGCCTTTCACCTACATCTTTTCAAGTTGACCTCAAACATTCCTCCAGATACATTTTTCTCTTTGATGGGTAGATTAATCATGACTTTGTTGTTGGGTAGGTTATCTCCTAGGCCTAACCACAAAACTGAGAGCCCAAATTCCATAGCAACTAACCAACTACTCCACAGTTCCAATCTTTGTCCCTAGTTTTCTCCTAATAATCATTTCCTCCAATTTCCAACCCAAATCGCTCTGAGCCATTGCACCAAGAACAATGCCCTCCTGTCAATAGCATACAATGGACATATCTCCTCTCAATAACTTCTCATTAGGATAGGTGGTTTCCCAAGCAAATTCTGTAATGTAGATGGTCTTTTCAGCAACAATAATTCCCCATCCATTGGCTCATGCAAAATCATAACTGTAAACTGCTATAGATTCTTCCAAAAAACTAAATCTTCCCTTCTTATGATATGGATGTGTTCTGTCACCTCAATATAAACAATTCCAAAGATACCTGTTTTGTTGGACAGATGGGATCATACATAATAAGAAAAGTACTATCATTTCGTTCCAAGCACGTTTTGAGAAGAAACCTAAAGTCCTAACACCTGTATTTACCAGATTAAAAATAAATCATACAAGCCCATGTGTGCAAATAACAATCATCAAGTAACATGTCCCAGTATGTTCACAACTTCACCCATGAGTAAGGAACCAAAATCCGCAGATGATGGAATAGAATAAATAAAGATAACAAAACGAAACAACTCACACCAAACTTTAATGCCAATTTACACAATCATATATGCAGTACCGATTATAAATCCTTCAAAAATATATATAAAAAAATAATCTACTCAATAAAAGCTAAAAGCAACAATATAGTATGAAGAAAGAAAGAACAGAAATGTAGGGTTCTAGGGCACGATGAAAACCTGAAATGTTTAAGAAAACAAACTTGTAACACCTAAAGCTTTAAAAGGCTGATACCCAGTAATTTTAAATCCAAAAAAAAAGTGACACTTTCACAATGCAGACAATGGTAAACATGTGCTCACTGGGTAAAATCTAAATGCAACTGGAACGAGAAAACAAACTTGTAACACCTAAAGCTTTAAAACGCTGATACCCAGTGATATTAAATCCAAAAAAAAGTGACACTTTCACAATCCAGACAATGGTAAACATGTGCTCACTGCAAAAATCTAAATGCAACTGGATATTATTGTAACCATTACAATTCATGGGAATCTAAATGTCCGATGAAACAAGAATTGAGTTTGAGCAACAATATAAGATGGATCTAATTACAATTAAACCCCTAGAAAGGCATTAGTAAACAAACAGGAATCCTAATGTATAAAGCTGCAAAAATATATTCGACTTTTAGCTCTAATCCTTTAAAATGTTGATCTTTTTTAGGCTTTTTAGCATTAGAAAGCATGTAGGAATCTAGTTATAGTAAGTTGGAGAAAAAAATAATCGATTTGTAGCTTTAACTCTTCAAAGTGTTGATCTTTTCCTGATGTCACATTCAGTAAGAAAGGAGTTTTTCTGGTACGATTTTGAACAAAAACAAAATAAGATGGCCACGATTTACCATGCATTGCTCATATTCTAAAAGTAAATGTTATTTCTCAAATAAACGATAATACAACACCATACTTAGCCTTAGAACTCGATCAACAAAAAACACAACCAATTATTATGATTATTTATATGTGTGTAAAATGCCATCAGCAGTAACAAAAAGTCATAAATGCATAGATAAACTCATAAGAACCTTCCTTTCAAATAACTGTTAATAGTTGAAATAAAGGTAAAGGTAAGATGAAATCCTTGTCTGTAAGAAAAGAAAAATGTTGGAAGATCACAAATCAATTGATTACACAAAGCCTAATGACCAAATAATACAAACTAGAATGAAAAACATTACTTGAAATAAAACATCTCTCAGAAAAACAGATTATTTGATATAGAAGAAAATGGTTAAATGTGTAATGCGCATCTCCATCTATTCGATCTAGACCTCACATCCACGAAAGAAGAAAAGCAACAAGCAATTTGAAACATTTTTGCAGATCAAAACCCAAACAAAGCGAACTTGATGCCCTGGAATATAACATACCAAGATCCCGCAAGGAAAACACAGATCAACAAAAATCTAGCAAAACAAACACAGATCCAGGCTCCAAATTCACCAAAAATGCCATCATTTCTCCTTCATAAACAAAGCAAAAAACACAGGCAAATCCCTAACCTTTTCAAAGTCCTCAGGCGCAACACCAGGTAGATAGAAGCAGTTTCCATTAAAGAACAAAAGCACGAAGAAAAAGAGCCACATTTGTGGCACCAAAGGGCGGCCAGCTTCCATTAGGGTTTCTTCAAGCTCACTAAGCCGGAAAAGGCAAGGGATCTGACAAATTTAGCCGCGTTTAAGGCAAAACGAGAGAGAAATGTGGCAAAGATCCAGCTTATCTTTAGCGACTAAGCTTTACTGGAAGAGATCCAGATCCAAACCAGAAGAGAAGAGCCATGGCTTTACTTATAGACAGAGGAGAGTGTTTTAGAGAGGGAGGGAGAAGAGAGAGGCACGAAACCGCAAGCTCGAGATTGCGATTAAAAATGGGTCATTATAATACTAAATAATAATACAAATATATTTACCAGATGGACCTTCACTTATGTTAATTACAGTTCTTGAACAAAGTGAAAATCCTAGACTCTAAATTAATACAAACTCAGTGCTAAGTCGACTTAGATAAACAAAACATTAACCTTGTATTGGGATCAACTTTAGGTAAGTTAAATTTCAAGCATTTGGTGGTGGGGTTAAAAAATGATAAATATTTGGGAATTAGTGTTGGGGAAATTGCTATAAAATCACAGTTTGGTGACAGCTGCTAGGGTTTGCGTGCGAAATAAGGTTTATTTTTTTATTTTTTATTAAGTAATTTTTGTTACTTAGTTTGATTGAGTTAGGCTACTGATATTTTGGCTACGCAAGAAATAAAGTAGAGAGGCACTTACACTACGCTCCCTCGCGAGCATACATTTCTTCTACTCCCTCCTTCAATAACCTATTTTGGAGGATTTTTTTCAATATAAAATTTTGTTGATCAACTTAAAATCACTGAATGATTATTATCAAAAAAAAAAAAATGAAATTTCAATCTTCCAACGCCTAGATCTTACTCTCTAAAAAATTCTGACAATTTCTATTCAATCTTGAGATATTAATTTTTGGGTACGGTTTCTTTGAATCCATATAGAAATGAGTCAACTTTTAAAAATCTATTTTTGAGATGGATTTTCCGACCGAATTTTTAAGAACATGTAATCTCTAATATGGACTATAAATAAATAAATAAATTTTAAGAAACACAAATAAGGATTTTATGAAGAAAATATTTGGACTGTGAGTTTCAATTGTTTTTAGATGGACCACCTATTGGCATCCATCTTTAAAATGGATGTTTTATACCTTGGGACCGTATATTTTAGAAATGTGGTCCAGGCTACACGAAACAATTTTCCTTATTTTCTTCAGATGCTTAGAGCATACAATTAGAACTTTATTTTTTATGGGTATGGTTTTGCAACTTTGCATAAGGCTAAGGCCTTAAAGTAACACCCCTTTAAATAGAATCGAAAGATGTCATTTTAGTACCAAAAATATTTATAATGGCCTAAAAATTTATTTTTATATCTAACTAAAATATTTAAAGCTTCAAAAAAATGTAAATCGTATACACTTGAAAATCTAAAAAATTAACGATCTAGGTAACGTATTACAAGATGCACTATTTTCAATACTTAAAATCTTTTTTTTATTATGTTCATGTATCTCAAGGTCGAGATGATTGGATTTGAGGGTTTTAGGACATCAAAAAAAAAAAAAATCTTAGTTAATTTTTGAAGTGTGCCTTAGTTTCATTGTTTAGGGCTTCGACCTTATATAAACATTTTCCTTTCATTATTGAGGTTAATCCTGGTATTGAAGAGTTTGTATCAAAATTTGGGGTCTTAGAGCTAATTTTAGGTCGGTTTTACCCGAGATTAAATGAACAAGCATACTCTCGAAACCTATGTATGTTACAATTATTGTCTTTACTTTTGGCTAGTCTCCATCGTTGTCGTGAGAAACAGATGGTAGATGAATTCGGGGTGTACCATATATCATACACAAGTGGTGTTTGGTTACAAAGGGCATATTTTACATGAAGCTACAAACTTTAGAACATGTAATTTTCCAGGACTTGAACCAGACTCGAACGTTGTAAGCTCAAATTTACCAGGGAAAAGAATGGAAGTGAGTATTTGATTGATTGAAGTATGTTAGGTTTTGTATATTTTAGTCAAGGTAGTACTATTCCTCTCTCTTATGCTCAATTTTAGATAGTGTTGGTTTTAAATTTTTAATCATTTTTTTGATGTCAAATGTTTCAATAAGCATATAGTGGGCAATGAAGTTGATGAGACAAAGTAATCCAAAGCTCATATATTTTGTCATCATTATTATTTAAGTTCTTTTTTTAACTATTTAAAGTTGGTAACATTCTTTATCAAGAGCCATACCATCATCAGTGTGTCCATAAGTCATCACACTTTTTTTTCCGACTACTTCCAACCATATCTTTTTTAACATACCAACGTTATTTGATATGACATTTTTAGAGTCATTTTCGGAGTAGGTATGTTATTTGCAAAATAGTCTGTAGTACAAGTGAATAATCATCCTCTTCATAGGTGTTGTTGGGCTTCAATGGGACTAATGTTAATGGTTGTTCTTATTTATTTTTATGAAGAAGTATGTTAGTAAAATTATTGGATATATTTTGGGGCATGCATTGTATGATGGAGAGTTTATATTAGGAAAGTTATGGTTTTAGTTGGGTCGCAGCTTTATTTTATTTAATCAATCAAAACCCCACTAGAAATTACAGTTCTGGTGTTGGAAAACATTGTGTGGCCTTTGAATTTATTTATTCTCCTTACTCATGGAATTTGAAAATGCAAGGATGATGAAAAAAACTGGCAAATTTCATGAATACTTGAGTGGACTTTTAGGGTTCTAAAATTCATTTTTGGTTTTTCGGATCCGCTATTGTCGAGATCAATATGACTAATTTGCAAATTATCTAGTGGAAAAACTACATTTTTTGGTAAGGTTTGAGGTGGAGATTTATAAAGTCAGCCAGCTCCCCGCAAAGTATCTTCCCGTCAATGGATACAGTTTCTACAAAGCCTAGGATTTATGAAAGCAAACTAAAGCCTCACTTCGAATCCTCATCCGGAAAGCATTTTGGGCATCGGAAATCTCCCTAACTCTAAAATCAATTTTCAATACCAATTATGAAATTTGAAATTAAAAAAATGATACAGATCTTGCAAATCCATAAACACTTATTTTGAGGGCGAAATAAACAGCCTAGATAATTTGTTACAACATACATCATTTTTAGGGCTTAGAATACTAGTTTGTTTTCACAACCACAATGGTCAAGGCCGAGATGACCGTTGGAAGTTTTTTCGATGCCAAAATTAGAAAGTGAGGTTTGAAGTGATGTTTTACTTAGTTTTATAGGGTTGGCATAACCAGAGATCTTATATCCCAAATTATAACATTTACCATTGGGTATATGAGAAATGATAAAGGTAAGGGCCCTGCTATTCCATGCCGTACATCCTTGGAGGGAGAATCTTGTATTGAGATGTGTGGAGTTAAAGCCGGGTCCGGGTCCTGGTCCGGGTCCGGGTCTGGGTCATATGAAGGACGTCCTGGTTGAAAAATTGATCATGTTATGGACTTTTCCAAGTTAAGGTAAAGCCAAGTCTCAATATCACTTCGACTTTTCTACCACTCGGGGCTTTTTTACATCCAAATTACGTAACGACATGACACGTTAATTTTCAAGTAGGGCATCTTGGGTCATGCTTTGAGTCACAAGGACAAGAGATGCTTTAAAATCCAGTGTTTCCTGTTTGAATTGCCCAATTGGTGGGGACCGAACCACTTTCGAGATGTTTTGGATCCCGGTCTAGTTCCTCCTAAAACCCCATTCTATATTTTTTTTTCTTTTTCTTTTTTTAAGCTTTTTAATGTTTTTTTTTAGGTCCTCCCCAATCCCCACCTTATGAACCTTTATTTTAATTTGTAATTTATTTTAATACATTTTTAGATTAACGATTAGGAATGATCCAGATCTAGTTCACCGATTCAACAATTAGACACGAATCTATAGGTGAACAATTGCCCTACCGATCCATATTTAAAAAAAATGATTCCAAGTAAATTCCAAAGATGAAGATATCGGTTTTTCTCTTCTTTTTTTTTTGGTAATTCAGTAGGTCACGACCAATTTTTTCAAATAGATTAGAAGTTAGTTTTTCTGAAAATATTCGTGGGTTAGTGCTAGTGGTGAGATTAAAAACCACAATATGGTAACTAAGGTGTAACACGATTCAGAAAAAACATTCATCTTATAGAAAAAGTTTTCTAATCGTGTGCGTGTTTGGAGGAGTGTTAGCTCCATAAGCCAAATGTTCCTTATTCCTATACCACACGGATTGCTACAGTATAAATAACTTCCACCTACCATTTTTGGCCTCAAATCAGTGACGTTTGGCCTCCATTGAAACCCACATAAGCGAAACGTTGTGGAGGTTTCACCGTGCATATAAAAAGAAAAAGAAAAGCATTTATATAAGTGCGAGGCTTGAAACAATTATAGTTAAGTGCATCTCAAAAATTTAACTAAACGATGTTATTTTGATGCTCAAACATCTTCAAATTGATCATCTTAACATCAAGATGTATGGATATGAAAAAAAAAAAAAAATTTCAAGTTTTAAAAATAATCTATATAATGTATTTTTGGACGGTCAATTTTCAAGATTTTCATAAATAATATCAATCTACACTATTTTTTAAGCTTTAAGTTTTATAATTAAGTAAGAAAATATATTTTAAAGGTGTTAAGAAGATTTTCAATATTGAAGCCGCATCTCTCGGCACTACAGTTTCATTGTTTAGAGCTTTGGCTCTATACAAACCGCACACAGAGAAAAAACACCCCCATGAAGCCCCACTGTTGCCCTAGCCACCTCAAGCTCTTCCACCTCTCCTTCTCTAACCCCCAATTGCACATAGGGTTTAGCCTTTAGGGTTCTCTCTCTTTGCCCCTCCTTCCCTTCCTATGTGTCTCTTGCCCCTCTCCCTCTCATTTTCCCCCTCTCTCCACAATATCCCTCTCGTACTGTCCCTCTCTCCCTTAATTCTCTCTCGGTCCCTATCTCATTCTCTTTCCCAAATTCTCCCTAATCTCTCTCAAACAATTGTAGCTTTTACTTGTGTAATATCTGATTTTGTGTATTTGTAGTTTGTAGTTTTTTGTCCAATGCATTTTAATGGAAGAATTTTAAGTTATTTTTTATTTTTTCATATTATCAAGCTATCCCAGTTCTTAGTTGCCATTTTTTGTTGTAATAAAAATAGTTTGGAGTGGTCATCTAGGGATCATATAGAATGAAATTTTTTATCATTATTACAAGGGGGTCATAAAGACTCTTAGCGATAAGATGTCAAATTCGATGGTTTGGGGTAAGTTATAAAGTTTGATAATCTTTT